ATATGCCGATGAGCTATTCAGGCAGTAGTGACATGCCCGAGGAGCTGGGTTTGCATTCTCCATGAAGTGAAGTAAATTGCCTTGGAAATGCATTCTCTCCATAGTTTTGTTCTGATCCTGGAGCGCAGGAGAGTAATGTTTTTAAAAATGCCTAGGGTCAGATTCAAGGAGAAATGGTAATAACAATAATAATAATAGTGAGACAGTAAAGGCTTCCAGGAGCACTTGAGTGTCTACAGCTCCACTGACTGCAAAGGAGATCAGACACCTTAAAGTGTTAGGAAACCTCAGATTGCATCTTATCTACATTTTTAAATGGACTGGGAGCCAAAATCTCAGTGAAAAATCAATCACTGCTACCAAGAAACCAGGACAAAGTGTTGTTTTGGTAATTTTATCCCTGATGCCATTTGGTGTACAATTTAGGATTTCATTCTCTGCTAAAGTATGTTGATGTAACTCTACCTCACTTCAGTGAGAATGCAGCCTCCAGCATTTCTCTGCATCTTTTCCAAAGGTAGACAGTAACTCAGTTGAACACTGGGAGCTGATGCACCTCCTTTGGGATTCCCTTCTCCCGTTAAGGTAAAAGAAGAACCAGAATGTGAACCTCAACTGAACTGCCAGAGAGAAGAGAACACAGTCTCAGGACACTTCTTAGTCCTACATGGCACACCTCCTTGCTCCCACGTTCAGCTGTAAAACCCTGTGATCTTGGTAGAACTACTGCCGGTTTTGCCAGGAGAAGATCAGCAGCAGACTGCTTTCAGAAACAGCTATGGGGTGACACATTTAAGCTGTTCAAGACCTGTGCTTGCATTTTTAAATGCAAGCAGAATCTGCACCAAAATGCAGTAGGACACCCAATTGCTTGCAGAAGGCAAGCACGACCAGCAGATTTCACCTCCCTGCAGACGCTGGTGAAATCCATTTATGGCATTAGCTCTGGCCTGCAAGAGCTTCTTGCTGCAAAAGGCATTTTCCAAAGGAACCTGCCATGAAGTCCAGCAACCCTTACAATTCTCACCTATGTGAAACTTGCCACTGAGTGCTTGCTGACCTACTGGGATTCCCCTAGCCCCCACCTGCCTTGGAGAAACGCTAATTTGGCAATACTTATAGAGTGAGAAGAATGGGAAGTTAGAGATTTGACAACTTCTCACCCCAAAATGGCTTAATAAGGAAAGCAAACAAGCAAAACCAAACCACCTCATACCTGGCAAGTGAGAGAGCTTGTAATACAGTGCAATTACCACTCCGTTTTGACATCATTCAGTCAAAGTAAAGACAACTGGATTGAAAAGTTTTTGGAAAACAAATCAATTTCAGTTATTACAAAAAAAAAAAAAGAGAACTTCTCTGATGGAGTAGAACCAGTTCTGACAAAGTTGCAATTGTCAGCCAGGCACAAAAATGGTTTGAAAGGTGACTCCTAAATATATTGTACAATCCGAATTATGTACTTCTCATCAACAGTCAGAATAAGGGTCATAAGGACAAGTTGTTTTTAAACTCCAGAAATTATCTGATGATGGCATTACCCCCCAACCAAACTGCTGGTTTCTCAACAGGATTTTGTGAACTCCTACCAAGTAATACCTCCTTAGCAGATCAGACTAGGAGCAACAAATTTTACATGAAAATAGATGCTTGCCATTTTAGGTTTACCAGCAAGTATATAAAGGAGTTGTTGAAGTCTTAGATAGGTTATATATATCTATCTATCTATATATCTGTATAAAGATAACTTGCCTAATTAGATATTTATGCAAAATGACTGTTTTCTAAGATGAGTAATACTAGCAGTAATTATATATTTAGCCACCAAGAGTCCACATTAATGAATGGTACTCGTTCAGCAGATACTGATCTCATTTGCACTGACACACTGCAATCAGAGAAGTTGCTCTGGAATTAGTGTTGTGACTGTGGACATAATCTGACCACTGGCACACAAACACATTACTTTCCCTGGAGGACAGAGATGGCTGAGCCATGGTTTAAGTGTATTTTCTGCACTAGATTTAACTTTTCACTGCTGCTTTTTGATAACTATTAAACCACTCCAGAGCTGGTATGACTATGCATTACTTAGCAAAAGTGGTGGCAAATGGATCCTGTAGTATCACCCATGTCAAATCACTCTCCCCAAGTCCGTAAAAAGTTGAAGACCAAGTTTTCTAGTGCAGGGTTGTTGTACAGTTCACTGCCTGTGGACTTTGGCTGTAGTGAGCATGGATCTGGGAAGAAGCTGATTATCCCAGTCCAGTCAGACAAGGGAAAAGCTATGGCTCATTCATCTCTGTGCTACCTGGCCAAGGGTCCTTCCTGTTTTCCCCAACTTTATCTCAGGGCTGCAGGAAGCCAACAAAAGTTAGCATCTACGTATTCCTGATTTAACTACTGCTGGAAATCAACCCTGCATGCATTGGCCCCAGCAGACTGAGAGGAACACAGCCTGTTCCTTCCTTTGGCTCTCTCCTTCCTCTCATAGCTGGCAGTTGTGCTGAGCTCTGGCAGCTGTCAGGCAGCTCCTGGATCCCAGGACATGCTAGCTGAGATGGAAGGAGAGGCACTCTTTTATAGGGAATGTGAGCTGGGATTAGACCGTCGTGAGACAGGTTAGTTTTAACCTACTGATGATGTGCTGTTGCAATAGGGAAAGCATGGCCCTGTTCTTTACGTGGCAAAATGCTCGTGGAGCACAGGACCAGGACCAGGACCAGACCAGCCTGTCCTTCATTCCTTCTGCTTCCTAACTGAACACACACCACAGGCATCTCCAAACGCAATTTTCAGCTCACTGCACTGAGTGGGAAGTCAAACCCTTCTCTAACTCTTCATAAACTGGATCCATCTTGGTGAACCTGCTGCCTGAAACAGTTGTTAGGGATAAATCTAAACCTATACACTTCAAAAAACCCGACCATTCTGTTCTCTAAAGTGGTTGGTTCCTGGGATTTTCTTCTTGCCTCTAGGATATTCTAAGTGCAGAATTTTTCATGGCAAATGCAAGAATCCAGGTGAGAGAGACTGTTTTGTTGACTTCACAGCTTCTCTCTGCTATAGGGATCTCCAGTCTCATAGTTGTCATTACCAGGAGAGTAGCACTGTACCTGAATCACACTCTCTGGAACACTGTTTTTTCTACCTCTGTAAGGCTCTTAACTAACATCATTTCTCATGGCAAATTAGCAAAGCTATTTTCTTGTCTACTTATTCCTGAATCAAATCAGAGAGTTTTCCTCAATTAACCTCCCATTATTCTCTTGATTCTGTCATACACACTCACTACTAAATTTGCCCTCAGATTATTGCGTCATGTTACACATGTACAGACGAAGAAAGGACACACTTTTACTTTTTTTTCATTTTTTTTTTTTTTAAACAGAAGTAGGGAGAGGGGGGCTGAATGTGCAGACAAGGCAGTATAATTCAACCATCCAAGCCCTACCAGAGCATGAAGATTTTATTTTTTAATATTGCAGAGTAAGTTCCCAAACAGTCAGTGTTTGTCCCTGAAGAAGGTTAAACCTTAAACACCTGCTTCAAAAAAACCCCAACAACAACAAAAAAAGAACCAAAACAAAAAAAAAGAAAAAAAAAAAGAAAAAAAAAAAACCAAAAAACCAAACTCTAAGCCTAAGGGCTTAAAAATTAGAGGCATCGCCTTTTTCTCTATTTTCTATATTTATATGAAAATAATTCATGCTTCATGCTAAATACATTATTTACCTTACAAGAACTTTGTCATCTTTGAATAAAAAAAATTGTTTGCTTTTTGTATTCCCCCCCCCCAAAAGGAATCCATGCAATGTGGATCAAATTTCTTCTACTGGCTACGCTGGTTGAACCTGGAAATTTGTTGTCATTTTTGCACAGATGAATCCTGACTGACAGTCCCTGCACACTCATTTCTGAGGGCAGTGTAGGAGCTCGTTTGTTGAACTTCTGAATTTTCCTGTTATCAATACGCTTTCCTTTTATTTTTAAATACAGAACACGACTAATGGCAGGTTTTGTAGCTTTTTTTTCCCCAGTTAGATCAAGGATTTGATCCACAGAAAAAGATTCTGATGTATATTGTATCTACTGTAATGTCTTAGATTTGATTGCTTTTCACTCAGGCAGTTTAGAAGACATAGCTTGTTTTTCCCTACCGCTATCATTTTTTGCACGCAGTGCCAATCCTCGGGCTTATGGCTTTTTGAACATTCTTTCAATTTAATATAGAAGACAGAATTCCTTGGTTAATGGTGCTACCAACAGTGACCTCCCTCCCATTTCTTCTCATTATTTCACTGAAACCCATTGCATACATAGTTCAGATTTCCCCAGACTTAGAGTTATCAGTCTTTGCACTGTGAGCCACAGAGAACATGTGAAGCACTAGAAGTGCATTACACCTGCACAGTTGCTACCAGTGGCTGTCCAAAGACTTGCATGGCACAATGTATCCAAGTGCCACTAGATGGTTCTTGGTTGAGAAGTACGCACCTCCTCTCTTCCCCAAATCTCTTTATTCATGTTCACTTCTAACCCAACTGTAAGGCCATCGTCTCAAGGGCCAGGTCTGAACGAATACTAACTTATGCACAGCTCTTCTACTATGAGAGGGATTTACAAGTGCCCAATTTTACTCCCACATTAATGCTGATGTCACTGCGTATTCAACCATGCATTTTTGACAAGCTGGAGAAAGCAATGGTGATTTTGGCTTTTTTTTGTTTGTTAACTTTTTGTCTTCAGGTAATGAAAAGCTTTTGTAAATTAGCTGAGTGTCAGTATGAGTTCTATGGCTTCAATCTCCTTTAAAAATAAAAATCTTAAGGGTCCAAAAAAAAAAGAAAAAAGAAAAAAAGAAAAAGAAAGAAACAAAACAAAAACAAATAGAAGAAAAACAAAAAAGGAAAAAATTGCTGATATTGCCACAAATCATTAGAATTCACCTGACGTGCTGAAACAAAACTTTGTAAGTTCAAACAAATCATTGATTTGTTCTAATTTTTTGTGGTTTCCTTTTGCTCTTTCTGCCCCTTTGCCGTCCGATTGGTGATGTTGTTCAAACAGGATCGAATTCCTGCTAAATGCAGGAGTGATCCTGCCGCTTCTTTCATTTCCTCATCGTCACTCTCAGGGGGCTTTTCTGTACGTCTCTTTTTAAGAGGCAGTGTGTCACTCGGTACTTTTTTCGCCTTCATTAAATGTTGCCTTTTCTTGTGCTGGGATGCATACCCACTGTCAGCTAAAGAATCCTTGGTCTCCTTCCGATTCTGCTTTTTGTCCTCCTCTTCTGTTTCGCTATGGCTCTCGTGGCTCTGGAAGCTAACTTCACTTCCTTCACTGCTGTCTTGGCTACCTTTAGTTGCAAATTCATACTGGTCATCAGCAGAGGAAGAGGAAATGGAGTCACTAGCAGGTGATGTGCTCCTGTGGTTGGAAGATTTGGCACTGCTGTAGTTGTGATCCTCCTTTGGGTCACCGCTAACAACTGGAGAGCCGCAGGACTGTTCACTTTCTGTCCTCATCCGGCAGTTTGTTATCCCATTCCTGTAGAAACAAACCAAAGCAGCCTTAGAAGCCAAAGAGATGAGATGCTGCTTCAGAGCAAAAGGTGATAAAGCCAATTGACAATCTGAAATTATGACTAGCAATGCCCATGCATGGTTTCAAAGCCTAACTGCTCGTGGATTGGACTCCACACATAAAACAAGCCGAAGGATGCAAAGCAGCACAAGAGGCAAGAGCAAGTAGGGGATGGTTACAAATAAACGATGTCTGAAAGTCCTGATTTACATTGCAACTAATAGTTTACACTTCCAAAATTAAAAAGAAAAAAAATCAACATTATTTTATCTACTCGATAAATGAACTCTGATGAGCTGCATAAATATCCCCTCTTCTTTTTCATACACATAAAAATGTGGGGAAGAGATACTAGCTATCTGGAGTAATTCTTTGCCTCCTCTGAAGGACTCGTTCCAGCTCTAGAGTTTAAATGGTAGGAGATGTATCACCTGGAAGTAGCACAGCTTTCATTTAGGATTCTTCCCAACAGAAAGAGCAATGAAGTATAAAACCCAGGCCCACTCACATCTCTGATTCTGATCAGTTTATGAATAATCTTAAGAGCAATACAATCTTAAGCCACTAGCTGCCAACAAAGTATTACAACGTGTTCAAAACAAGCAGTAGAAAACATAAATAAACCTGGATTTGCTCTAGAAGCTGTCATTTCCCCCTTTGGTTTTATGGCACCCTGTGCTGTGGGAACTGCTGCAGCATGATATATTTAGAAACTAACAGTGTTCCTTTCTGGGCTGGAAAGTATTAGAGCCCTGCCACTGCCTTTGCAGTACAGAACATAATGCTTGCAAGACTATTAAAGAAGAGACTGACCCCGTGCAATGCTTAAATCCTG